CAATCAGGTAATGGAAACTATTTTTGTTTAAATGTACATGCAGAGACTAACTCATCTGGTACACTGCACATTTACTATGAACACTATACTGAGCGATATCATGTTTAAGTGAGCCACATGTGTCATTACCTGTAATAAAACTTCAGTCTAATGTATTGACAGTGCTACCATGGTAACACTGGCCTGCAATGGCAGAGGTAGGGTGGGGAAAAACAGGGTATAATGCCGAATCACAGATTACAGCGCTAAGTATCAACATTCCTTCCAGCAAGCCTGTCTGTCTGTTTGTCTATCTGTATATCAGTACAACATGCGAATATTTATTTTCTAAACAAGGAGGAAGACAAATATCAGGTCGAAAATAGTGATCTGCATGCATGGGTTTATGTCTGTGTGTTACTGCTTGTAGAGGGCTGGAGTAATGCTGGTGTTATTGTGTCGTCCCGGTGAGACACAATGCCACAACACAATATAATACCCAGATACATATATACTGACTACTGACGATTTTATCTCGTTAATTTGGAACACCTGGCCAGGTAATATATTGTTCCTGACATTTTCCTAGAAACTAATATTTGTAATTTTCATAACAAGCATCCTCTGCCGTTAATATACACTTCTGTCTCCTCCTTAAACACAAGGCCAACCATGACGTCATGTATATCATGTGTAAGATTACGAGCCCATGGTGAGTGGGTGGAGTAAGGTTTTACCGCCAAGTATATCGCTGGTGGAAACCAGAGAGGCTCCCCACATTGCACCTATGTTGGGGAAATTGATATGTTCCACTGAGCCCTCATGGTGAGTGGGTAAGGTTTTACGCCGTTATTAGAAATATTCCAACAATATCACTGCTGGTGGAAACCAGAAATGGCTCCCCACTTGCCCACATTGCACCTATGTGGGGAATTGAACCCCAATGTTTTTCAGTGACAAGCCAACACTTTAACCACTGACCTACCCAATGGGCTCCCCACCACACATGGGGAATTGAGTGAGTGAGTGTGGTTATACGCCCGCCTTTCAGAAATATTCCAACAATATCACTGTTATTCCAACAATAAACCAGAAATGGGCTCCCCACATTGCACCTATGTGGGGAATTGAACCCCGCTTTTTTGGTGGTGAAATGGGCTCCCCACATTGCACAAATTGCCAACACTTTAACCACTGACCTACCCAACTGCCCCCACATCGCACCTATGTGGGGAATTGAACCCGCTTTTATAAGTGTGACAAGTCAACACTTTAACCACTGACCTGACCTACCCAACTGCCCCGCCTCACATAGAGTAAGTATGGTTTAACACTGATTTTAACAGTATTCTGGATACATCACATCAGCATGGTGTAAGAATGATGCTGGTATGAAATATTCAACACTTTGGTGAAAACCCTGAGATAGGTACTCGTGAATATCCGGGTTAGAATTGATCTTCAGTAACCCATGCTTGTAAGACGCGACAAACAGTATCAGGTGGTCAGTCTCACCGACTTGATTGACACAGGTCATCATATCTCAACTGTGTAGGTTGAAGCTCATGATGTTAATCACAGGATTGTCTGGTCCAGACTCGATTATTTACGGACTGCCACCATATAGCTGGAATATTGCTGAGTGTATGTATTGTAAAACAAATTTGTAACATTGAAAACATTATTGTCATGAGTTCAATAAATAATGAAACTCAAGTGAAAATTGGTGAATTCTTAACAAAACTTTACACCAAAACACAGCTGTTCCTGTGCACGATATTTGCACATGCCCTTCAGCAATTTGATGCATGATCCTCGTGCAATTCATCTGCATAAGGTTGCAGTTCGTTCCCCCAAGTTATTGGAGATATTCATCTTCAATGTAACCATATAGTAAATTCTTTAAGTGAGTCTAAACTTTTGATGGGTAGTATATAAAACAAAACCAAAAAATGCTGCAATTCACTCTTACTCGATGATTTGTATGGAGGAAGATAGTATTTGGATATTTATGTGGTTTGTTGTTCAGCACAGTATTCCAGCTATATCACGTCCGCCTCTCAATAAAAGCGTCTGGATCATGCACCCTGGTGACATAATCGTTAATTCATATGCCTACATGATGACAGCTGGGACAGGATGACCTGCATCAAACATGTCAGTAAGTCGGCCCACCTGATCCCACGAGTCTTCATGGGGTCCATGATTTTATCGACTTCTCCTAGAGTGAGTGAGTATGGTTTTATGCCGCTTTTAGCAATATACAGTGTATGAAATAAGCCAAAACCACAGTCAGACATCAGGGCTGGTAACTTCAAAATGTTACCAGTCCAAAATGGATTTAACCAGACCAGACACCAATACATGACTCAGATGTATATAACATCTAAATTTTGTACCAGACCTTCGGGCTGGCTAGCTGTAAATTTAGACCGTCCGTCTGAAATCTAACACGTCTCAGGCTCTGTCGGATGGGCCTTATTTCATATACTACAATATACCAGCCATATCACAATGGAGGACACCAGAAATGGGCTGGGAATCAAATCTGGGTATTCGGCATGACGAACAAATGCTTTAACCACTAGGCATCCAACAGTTACTGAATAGATTATATTTAGCATATTTCTGGTCGTCAGTTTGTGAAAAAGATTTTCAAAGATGGTAAATGTTAATGAAGGAAGTATTATGTAACTGTAAAGAAAACACATTCGACAACTTTTGTTGACATCATAATCATTATAAATAGGCTAGCAAAAATAACATGAAAAAAACCAAAACAACATCAACAATTTGTATGGTAAACTGTAGATAATCTCTCATAGTCCATGAACCACATTATTTTTCCTTCTGCCTCGCTCTTTCTGCAACTCTAAAGACCTAAATGAAGCAGGTCTAGATTTCCTCAGATTCTGAATCTCCCATCGCAGGGGCTCCTTTTCAATTTAACAGGAAATGTTTGTTTCAAGCAAAATTAAATATATTCAGAGATTAAGGGTTAGTCTAGGTTCACATGTCATCAATGTCATAATATAATCACTGTATTATGTACTGTTGCAAAAAAATATTTAGGTTATATAATTTATTCATTAGTCTAATCATGCTAATTGACAAGAGAAGACAATGTCCTTGTTTTCAATCAGATTTATCTAAGATTCTAAAGTGAGTACCCTCGGCAAAGAAGTTTGAAACAATCAAAAACGTGCAAAAGTATGACAGATTTACTTGTTTGTTTATTACAATAGTGATCTTGTTATATGCTCGGACCTCGTTGTATCGCGGCATCCATGGTATCGTGGCAAACGGTATTTCGGGTTTTCTGCGCGAGGCTCGCCTCCTAGCGGTGATTTGCATATGTAAATCGACAGCCAGACGTCAGTCGAGTGTTTACTTTTTAGAAACCAGCAGGATGTATCAAATCTTCGTAAGTAGTAACCAGCAGAAATATTAACATTAAACTCTGGAATCTTTGGAATCTGTCTGACCCCCATCCATGAAATACATGCTATTTACATGTCGTATATGACCCTTCCCACTCGAACTGAACTAGGTCGTCTGCATCTCATTGTTGCCATATAAGGTAGCGGAAGTGACGTCATGAGCTTTATTTATCTCCCGGTGAATACCAAATGTTGTACTTCAAATAAGGACAAAAAGTGTAAAATGATCCCTGTTCAATGAAAACAATTTTGCACACTTTAACAAAATAGAAATATAGAAAGGATTTTATCATACTGTTGTACACATAATTATTTATTTATTTTATCACATTATTTCAAATGATATTTTGCATTGAAATATGTTTGAAATCATGCCTAAAATAAATAAAAAATGAAACAGTATGAAGAAATATTAAGAAATTCATGATGAATATGATATATTTTGGAAGTTTGGTGTTTTCCTTGAATAAAATTTTATAATGGATACTGTTTTGTGCACCTTGGATTACAAAAAATATCTCAACTGATTTCACATTACATGGTGAGTTAAGCAATTTCATTTTTTGTTTCCGACTTCGTCTTGCAATCCGAGTTTTAATGTTTACCGCGATACGATGGAGTTCTATCCTTTGGTAAATATTAACTGGCTTCGTTCGTCTAATGGCTCTCGCTGAAACACTATCAAAGTTAAAATAATATTTTTCTCACTAATGTGTTGATTAAATGTCATGTTAATCGGATATAATAATAAAATAGGCCTTAAAAGTTCGTCATTTTATTTCCGATCACGGATTTGTCAAGTACCGCGATACAAAGAGGTTGCAGGCTACACAAATAACTTGAAATAAATCATTTTTCAATCTTAATACTGTGTCATTCTTTCAAGGTGTATGATTCGTATTGCAAGTAAAATGTTGCGATACATATTGTATCGTGACATAGTGTATCATCCCAGCCCTAATCACCCTATATATTATTTACTATGAGTATCCTATTCACAAGATTGTGTATCTATTGAAGCCTAAGGAAATATTAATTACAAGTTAGGAAATTTTACTGTCACTTGCTGAAGAAGTGGGTCTAAATATTGGACTTTGAGCAGGTTACGATAAGTCATGACAAGTACTAACAAATACACTTAATTAGTCATACGGGACATACACATTTGAATATCTTTACAATGAACATGATGAAGACAACTTTTTTAAAGTGTTACAAGGTAACTGTAATTCAAAGCATACAAAGTGACATTTAAGAAAACATTTTAACCTAAAAACACATGACTGACATAAGTCCCTGAAAATGCCAGTTCATACTCAGGATCCCTGATTCATGAATGACAGATCGGAATTTTACAAAGAACAGAAATTAGTCACCTTTGACATTCCATGAAAAAATGCCCAATATTCCACTTATGTATACAGTTATTATGCAGTGTTTTCGTTTTCTTCTGCTGGAGAAATCGGAAACTATATTTTCTCAAAATAAGCGAAAATCTCATTTTGTCCAAGACGAGGACCATTATTCAAAATCTGGCACCAAGTTAAAACGAGGAATAGAACTTAGAAGTTTGACACGCACCTGTTCCTTCAGGCCTGCTCCCTTGACTTTTGATCCACATCAACTGTCGAGTTTCTAATTTGATCCGTAAGGTTCTTCTTTCTGGCTTCTTTCGATAAAAGAAGACGGTAGCGACCAGACCCCTTTCAATTGGCCGCAATACTTCCACAACATCGGGGCCAGGCAACCCACCGTTTGTGATGGGGGCGGCCATCTTTGATTCTCTGCTACTGTGCCCTAAATACTACTACCCGGCCGACTAATGTCGTTTTCAATTGAACGCCTGTCGCGCTTATGTGTTTGGCTACATCGGATTCCACAGCAGAGAAAATAGGTTGCTAATGGTATGTAATTTTCACGCAAGCACGAATTGATGATTTAACGAATTAAACGCGGTATTAGTGTGGACAGTATCACTATCTCTAATGTAGTCAGGCGTCACTAGCTCGGAATGATTGGAAAACAATGCGCACATATCTGTTCAGAAACTGTGGGGTAGCCCAGTGTTGCAAGCGTTCTCCCAAAGTTCTATTCCCCAAACGAATTCCATTAATAGTGCCAGCGGTTCCCTTGGAAATGTAGGAATATTCAAACTAAATGTCGAATAATGCGACAGATGCGGTTCATTTCAGGATCTTGTCTTTGAAGTTGAGATCTGTTTCACATTGCATAATGGCCACATGCATCAGAGTGAGTGAGTGAGTTTAGTTTTACGCCGCTTTTAGCAATATTCCAGCTATATCACGGCGGGAGACACCAGAAATGGGCTTCACATATTGTACCCATGTGGGGAATCGAACCCGGGTCTTCGGCGTGACGAACGAACGCTTTAACCACTAGGCTACCCCACCGCCCCTCACATGCATCAGAGTGAAACAAACATCCGACACTCAAGACTCTGTGACAAAACGAATAACTTCAACATTCAATTTCAATAGTAAACATTACATACATTGCAAGGAGCATTGCAGTATTTTTGGTAATTGTACATGCTCTTTCTACGAAGATTTGAAAGAGCTTCAGGCGACGAGTTAGTGAGTTGAGTTTTACGCCGCTTTAAGTGAGTGAGTGAGTGAGTTTAGTTTTACGCCGCATTCAGCAATATTCCAGCTATATGGCAGCGGTCCGTAAATAATCGAGTCTGGACCAGACAATCAAGTGATCAACAGCATGAGAATCGATCTGCGCAACTGACATACCATGACATGTGTCAACCAAGTCAGCGATACCTGACCACCCGATCCCGTTAGTCGCCTCTTACGACAAGCATGGGTTACTGAAGGTTCATTCTAACCCGGACCTCCACGGGTGATCTTCATGGGAAAACATAAAAGCCGGAGTGCACACTGTATAACTCAGAGTTGCCGATTTACGCACACTGTGTTTTACCTTCTCCTACACTAATTTAATTCTCAATCATATACAAACTAAAGTGAGTGAGTGAGTTTAATTTTACTCCGCTTATAGCAATATAACGACACATTGTGCCCATGTGGGGAATCGAACCCGAGTTCTCGGCGTGACGAGCGAACGCTTTAACCACTAGGCTACCCCACCGCCCCTACAAACTAAAAGTACAATCTGATATTTGGGGATTATGTAAAACAACAACATTTGGGGCTACAAGTATGCAAAGTTTGTTTCTATGAAGTCACGATCAAAACATTTTTTAAAATATGTTCTTTGTTTGTTTTGGGGGAAATAATCACAAAGCACCCGGTGGGTACTTTCTTTTGTTCGTCAGTTTACTTCAGCAATGATAAGTCCGTAGTCTGGTTTTATCATCTATAGTAGACAAACAGTAGTCGTGGCCTACTTTTCTAGTTTTGGGGGAACTAAAACACGAAATAGATATTGGATTAGCCAATCAGATGTCATGTAATCACTAATCCAGATCCGATTAATTACAGTCTGGCTTCACAGAGTTGGGCCGAGAGCGGCGCGGAACAATCAAATAACTCACGGGCCATCGGGATTTGTCCAGAACTATGCTCGATATATACAGCTGAGTGCACACCATAATTCTTGAAACATACGTAACATTTGCTTTATGTATTTCCACAATTTACAGGGCATTAACGTATTAAAACACATTAACGTTGGTTTGTTGTTTTACGCCGCACTCAGCAATATTCCAGCTATATGACGGCGGTCTGTAAGTAATCGAGTCTGGACAAAACACATTAACGTATTAAAAGAGATTGGACGAGAGGCACGTTCAGAGAAATTGTTATTAGGAATTTCATTTGGGGGTCTTAAAGCTCTTTCACGTTTCTGTTAAAGCTGGAAATACATCATAAGCTAGAGAGTTAATAAATTTAGTTTTTTCTGATGTAAAGGTTGTTTTTGAAAAAATCTCACAAATAGTGTTGTTATTAAAATATAAATGATTTTTTTTTACCATTAGTCCGTTATAAAAAGGTCATTCTAGAATAAAAAATGCATTGTGTTTCAATAAGGTGGATGGTGAACATTGGACAATACGTTTTGTTAAATAACAAAAGTTTCCTCCTCATTTCAACAGTTTGTCCATTGAGCATCTTAAACGACTCAATGATCGACGATAGGTGTTATCATTATTGTGCTCTAATGTTCAGCATCTAATGCCTAAATTGTCGAGATGATATAAGTATGCCATATGGAATAGTGTTGGGAATTGGTTAAAATGTCATAACTGATGATTGGTTAATTACCACCGATCAATCATCGAAAATAATTGGTTAGCGTAATTTATGAAATTTGTTAATGCACAAAAATATAAGGAAAAAAACATGTACTTATTTTGGTGGGTTTTTGGGCAAAATGTCACATCTTTAAAGGATGACTAGTATGTTAGGAACATAAATTTCTTGATGTCTTTAAGATAAATTCATTGATGACTTGGAACAAGCTTGTAGTGCTTATGAAACGTAACAGACAAAACCAACCTTGTGAAAAATATTGTTGATGAAAACAAGTGTTCCAGAATTGTTTGTGTTCGATTATGAGAAAACATGATCGATTGCTTGGTCGTTTAGTCACTGCGAACAATCTTCGATTATTTCAATTAATCGGACCACCACTAATATGCACAATATGGTTTTCAGTTCGAGTAACAAGTCTTGTCCAAAATTGTATTGTATCCTTATGCTGGTTTAACGTTCATGGAATGACTACCCAGATCTCTAGATCTAGCGGCTGAGATACTGGGAACTGATCTCTTAGGTCTTCATATGTCTTTGCAAAACGATCATGGCTATGCCAATAATTCTATAAAGATAAATTCCACAGAGTTCAGATGAATACAAATTTCAGTGAATTAGCAAAATCGGGACCTTAAATATATGAGAAATGCATCAAACGATATCAAATTATATTTTTCAGTGTATTAAAAACCTTTGTCGTTTGTTTAAAAAGCGTTTGCCCTTTAAGTCTCTCAAATTGCCATCGGGAGATATCATGCGCAGTATGCCTAGTGAAGTGAATGAATGTTTGAAAAATCGTTGGGGTATAACCAACTCCTGATATCAAAACGTCAAATGTGACATTTCTCCTCTTACCCCTACAGTCCCTCGAGATCATTGGCCGTCACAAATTGCACTGTCATGCTTCGCCAACTTTTTTTATTGTGTTCCTAATTCGTCCACTATTATCATGCTTACTTGTAGTAACTAATATGTCTAAGATGCTTCGCTAAAAGATCAAAGGCACCAACAGTACTTTATCAGGCGATAAAGTACACATTTTGCATTACGCCACATTGTACTGACGTTAATACGCCATTCTGGTGTGCCCCCTCGTAATCAAACGTACCCTTGGTAACCGACGTCACGATGAATGGCAGTTGTCATTGCCTATTACAATCCAGGGCCCCGTTCCGGAAAGCGATCGTAGCGCTACTACAGTCGTAAGTCTATGTTAAACTAAGGGAGTTACGGTCATCTTAGCGCTGCGATCGCTTTCAGGAACGGGGCCCAGGATCTTTTACTGTTATAGTTCTGGTCAAAACTGTACCTCATTATATTACATTTATGGGTAGACAAAATTTTATTACTTAATTAAATTGTAACAAAAATCAGTTATTTGCAAGTATCTCCTACTTTTCTGAAGAGAATTTAATTATTTTTATTATCCAACACCTGATCCAAATTCCGCCCGCATTTTCCTATACACTACATCCGTCCCCGACTCTGATAGCGTGGTCGAAAGGCAACAGTCGTTGTGATCAAGCAGTAATATCTGATGATTCGCAAGAGAAACTTGTATTTGATTAATCTGTAATCTAATCTAATCGATTTCTGGGATGACAGATCGACTGTTTGCTATTCCTCACCACGATGACAAGCGGTGTAATGGTGGGCGGTAGACAATTACAGCTTAGGAAAGCACTGCTAGCAGTTCTTATCCTGAATCAAATTCAAGCGAACGGTTGGTTAACTTGATGGAATGACACATACAGTAGTTTGCCGTGAGTTTAGTAATCGTTTCCGGCCCATCCTAGTTTCACATATCTGAAGCAGTTACAGAAACGTCCATGCTCTATAACGCAGATGAACCTTATATAAGGTGCCGGTTGTGTAAGGAGCCGAAGATAGGTAGGTAGGTAGGTAGGTAGGTAGGTAGGTAGGTAGGTAGGTAGGTAGGTAGGTGCATAGGTAGGTAGGTGAGGGTGAGGTGAGGTGAAATTGGGTTTAACGTCGTGCTTGAGAATATTTCGCTCATATGATTACGTGCATGCGTGTGTATGTGTACGTGCGGCTGCTTGTACTAGCCCAGACTTCAGCTGGTTTTATAGTGCTAGCCCACTGAGATACCATGCCGCAGTGAAGCATGAATACCCCACTCAGATACATTATACTGACTCCGAGCCGACCAGTCCTTGTTGTACCCATTAATGCCGAGCGCCAGGCAGGGACCAACAAGTACCCTATTTTAACGTCTTTGGTATGACGCGGTCGGGGATCGAACCCGCGACCTTCCGCTCTCCGGGCGGACGCTCAAACCACTACACCACGGAGGCGGTCAGGTAGGTAGGTAGGTGCATAGGTAGGTAGGTAGGTGCATAGGTAGGTAGGTAGGTAGGTATGTAGGTAGGTAGGCATAGGTAGGTAGGGTTTAGGGCGACCTTTAGGCCTACGGAGCCGAATTCGCAGTGTAGAGTTGCTTCCCTTAGACGTGCAAGGAGTGAGTGAGTATGGTTTTACGCCGCTTTTAGCAATATTCCAGCAATATCAC